CTCCTCCTCCTCTGCACCTGCTCCTCCTCCTCTGCACCTGCTCCTCCTCCTCCTCTGCACCTGCTCCTCCTTCTCCTCTGCACCTGCTCCTCCTCCTCTGCACCTGCTCTTCCTCCTCCTCTGTACCTGCTCCTCCTCCTCTGCACCTGCTCCTCCTCCTCCTCTGCACCTGCTCCTCTTTAGTCCTGCACCCCTACTCTTGTTACTCTGCCCACACCTCACAGAGTGAATCTATTTGGGATCTTCTTCCTTTTGTGCTTACCCCCTCCTGGGATGTCTGAGTCAGGGACTGAGATGTCTGCTGAGCCTTTGGTACCTGGGACACTCTCCAGGAGTGAGGAGTGACTAATCAGCTGTTGAGTGATTGGCAAGCAGCCGTGGCCTGCTTGAATACTGATCTGAGAGCTGTACAGGGATCAGCTCATATACTTTATTTTATCCAGGTCTCTTTATTATTGATGTATTTGTAATCATGTGAATACATTTATACAGTATAAAACATAATTTAAATAATTATAAGCATATAACTATAATTACATAGCATTCAATATAAATTTATATCTGTGTGTTCCACAAATATACTTATTAAATGTAAATATAAACCATAAACATGTCTATGATTCATTTCTCAATTACACTATATGTATTCAATATATTTGTCTGTTAGTATTTGTGAGAGTGTATTGGTACAAGCTTGGCAAGTGTTCTAGCCACATGCCCAGCCTGCGTGGATTTTAAGTGTGATATGTACTTCATTTTCCCTGAACTAAACTGCTCTATGTCTGTAACCCTGAGATTCTGTCCACCCACAAAACACAAGTTTTTTCCTGTGCCTAGACGCTGAGAAGTTTATGCATCCTAGCTCACATTCCTTCCCATCATGAGGCCCTCAATTCTCCCCACTTTACAGAGAAGAAAATTAAGGCCCCAACATGTTCAATGACCTGCCAGCCAGACTGAGTCAAGGCTGGACTACGATTTGAATTCTGCCTGGATCTCCCTTCTACCCCTTCTCTTCTCTAGAGGCAGCCTCCAAGGTCACCTAGTCATTCAACAAGCCTTCCCCCGGCACTGCCTATTCAGGCCTGGAGTTCAGGGCTCAGAGAGGAGCTGCAGGGTTGGCAGAGACTCTGCCCTCCGGGAGTTCCCAGCCCAGCAAGGGAGATAGACCCACAACTAGGTAAGAGCTGAAGGTAAGAGTGGGAACCTTCCAGGCAGGGGTGGGGGAGCTTTCCAGGTAGGCGCTGGGACAGGTTTGAGAAGGACTCAGGCTGATGGCTACCGGGAGAGATGGGACCCCCAAACCCAGACTCCATACTCACGGTTCTCAAAGGGCTTAAATTTACAGGTCTTCACCCTGCGCCAACCCTTCCCTTCCCAGCACACCACGCTTATGTTGAGGGTATCTGCAGCCGTCAGTGATTGGAACTACAAGAGAGGAAAGGCGGAGGTGTAGCTACCCGAAGCCATTGAGAAGAAGGGGCCACTAAATTATCAAGGCAAGGACATGCTTTGCCTCTTCCAGTCATCCAAGGCAGGGGGCAGCAAACATTGTCTGCAGCCAGCCAGATTGTGAACACTTTTAGCTGCACAGACCACATGGCCTCTGTCCCAACTCGACTCTGCTATTGTCTTAAAAGAGCTACAGACAGCAAATGAACCGATATCAGGGCCACATCCCAATAAAACTTTATTTACAAACACAGACCGCCGCTGGGGTCCCTGATATAAACTGAAGTAGGCCACCAGGGTTGAGAGGAATTTTCTCATCACAAGAGGTAGGCAAAGAGCTAAGCCCCCAAAAAGGTCATCCACAGAGAAGGCAGAACTGGACCTACTGAATAGCCTTACCCCCGGCTATTCCGGGAGGAAATGGCTAGGCCGTCCCTGCTCACGCCTTGTTGATGAACACAGTGGTCCCTCCCCGTGCTACTCTAGAAGCCTGTGGTTAGGGATGCTCAGACCACTCAGCTCAACGGCAGGAAGTGGGTTCCCATGAGGCCATTACAGCCACAGCTTCCCAGAATGACCAGAGCACAGAGGATGAGTGACGTGGTCCCCCAAATAGGCTGTGCCACAGGCTCCTGTGTGGACAGGCTCCTACGCTGCAGGAGGAGATTCAGAGGCAGGCCATGGCGGGACCTACGCTCTGGGACTGGGTGGTGGTTTGCAGTCCAAGCCCTGAGGCCTAACCCCTCCGACCTGCACAGACTTTGAACTTGGCCATCAAGAGTTCCCTGACCAACCAACCAAGTATTGCTTCCTCCCTTCTTCACTGAGGACACTGCCTTCATCTCTCACAGCTGCTACCAGTTCCGGTCTACCCACTTAATAATAGCACGACTTGGTTACTATTTCTGCGGTTGTCCTGAAGAAATTGCCAGTACCAGGCTGCTGGGGACTTCTGTCCCTTCTTCTTTGCATAAATTACCTCGTTGAATTCTCTCACCACTCCCTAAGACAGACCCACACTATCCCCATTCCCATTCGTTAGTCCCGGAGACTGAAATACCGAGAGGACTGGGGACTTGCCTAAGGTCACACAGTTAGGAAATAAAGCATGGGAGGCGGTCCCTGCAAAGCCCCATGTTGGCACAGCTGGAGATTCACCAGCTGTGCTGTGTGCCACCCTCCCCTTCCCGTTCTTTGAGAACCTGTGAAACCTGCCAAGGCCTGGACAACACAGCCCGGGCTCCCCAGGGCAAACCCCTACCCCTGCCTCGGCCCTTTCCTCAGACAGTCTGAGGAACTTTTAAGTTACATCCACATGGTCTGGACTCAGGCCCTACAAGAGGCAGGTGGGTGATATGGAGAAGCCACCAGGAGCCCACAGGCCTGGGGCCAATCCCAGCTCAGCTGCTTGTGGCTGGGTGACCTCCAGCAGACACCACATCTCTCAGTCTTAGATTCTTCCTTGGTAAGGAGACAAAAATCATGGGGGTCTATCTGTGACTCTCGGTATCTGCTCTGTGCCACAATGACCCTTTGAGGGAGCTTCCATTTCCTTTTCTATTTTATGGGAGGGGAAACTGAGGCACTGAGGCTGCACAGAGTTACCGAGCTGTCATGAGGCAGTCCCGGGACAGGGATGCCCAACTTTAGCATGCCACTCTCCCCTACAGCCTGGATGCTGAGACCTCAGCCAGAGTCTGGTATGATTGTCATTGTTACTGGGATGCAGAAGGGTGTCATGACTCCCAGCAGACAAGGAGGGACCAAGAGTCTGGGCAGGGGCAGCAAGGGCACAGGCCGATATCCCACTTTCTGTCCTTCACTCTCAGCCCAAGCATCTACATCACCTGCTCTACATCACCAGGCTGATGCTTGCAGAGGTCCAGAACCACCCTGAGGCCCCAGCCCACAGCTGGAAGGACTTGACTACACACATGTATACACACACACACACACACACACACACACGCACGCACGCACGCACGCACGCACGCACGCACACTCACACGCACACCAACGCCCATGCTACTCACTTCTAGGTCCCCGAGGATCAGGTTGCAGGCCCAGGATGCCTGCCTCACGGGAAATAGCTCACAGGTTTCATTCCAGGTCCTTGCAGAACAGAAAAGACACCTTAGAAAGCAAGGCAGGAATACAGAGCTACTCAGAGACCCTTCTCACTTCCCCAACCCCCATGCTAGGGACAGCAGCACAGAATGTGAGAAGCTGGCTGCCTCCCATGCTCCCAGGGTCCTTCATCTCTAGAATACCTTTTCAGGCCCTTACCACCCCAGCCCCCAGCCTGGCCTTCCAGCAGCCAAGGTGACCAAGGAACACAAATCAACTCAAACCTCACCCCCACTCCAAGAGCCCCCAAGCTCCATGCAGCTAAATTAAGCTTAAAGAAGCCTGTGGCTCCCAGATGTTTCCTGTCCCCACAGGACAGCATCCCAGGCAATGGTCCCTGACCCCACAGCTGCCTGAGGGCTCTCCCGAAATACCAGGTTGCTCCAAAAATGTACGAAGCACCAAGTACCCACCCTGCTTGCCTCTGACAGCCTTGGCATCAGAGGTTCACAATGACTGTCCCCAAACTACCCAGCCCAGGACCTCTGAAACTCTCAGCTGGAGCCTGGATCCCACCCACTTTCAGGAGCCCCAATGCCTGAGTGGCTGAGCCTGGTGCTAACTGTTGTGAATCTCAGGTTCAGGATTCAGATTAGCATTCCCGCAGACTTGAGGCTCTGTTCTGTGACCAGGCCACACTCACCGGCCGCTCGACTTGGCTTGGATGTGGCAGGAGGTGGCCTGAAGGGCCTCTTCCCGGCTCCACACGCAGGAGACATTGGCTCTGGAGTTGTAGAAGCACTCGAGATGGGGACAGTCTGCGGGCAAAGCAGGGTGTGAGTGGCTGGCTGCAGGACACACA